CCACACATACACAAGATGATCACACCACAAACTCACCCATCGTAGCGTGGATACTCCGTACAGTATTCCCATTCTCCAGGCCAGCGTTCATTTCACCTCTCTGGAATTTCTCGTACAAATCCTTCACATATCGGGGCAGCCTCCTCTCCTTCCTAGGATCGGGCAGCAGGCGGCTGTTCCTGGGCAGAGGCTTTGGGGAAGCGGTGAAGCCAAGAAGCTTCCTCACTGCCTCGTGGAGAAGAGCATTCCGATCATTTTCTATCCAGGTATACCTCGATTTCCCGCGACGTCCACGCTGTCCGTTCAGGAAACCCGAGTAACCGAATCCCGCCATGAGATCCTTGTTGTTGAGGTCGTCTTCTTCGTTTTCGCTTTCCTCGTCTGAGTTCTCCTCGTCTGAGTTCGAATCATTGTCGTCGAAGAATTGTTTCGTAGATTTCCTCCAGTCCTCTTTCTCGAGGCCAAAGGTCACGAGTTTGCGTCCGGTTTTGGGAGAGAAGTGACTGAGAAACGTTGAGGTAGATGAAGCAGACGACAGCGATTTGCCAGCCTGGGGCGAAAACGAGGAGTCTTTTGCTGCGTGTTTGTGTTGATGGTGCTTCCCGTGTTTTGAGCGTCTTTTCTTTTTCCTTCTCTTATCTTTCTTCTGTTTTCCGCTCCTCCGTGGGATAATTCGATCGAGGATAGCGTTATTACCTTTGGCCTTGGCGTCCATGAGGTTATAAGGGTCAAGGACGCTGAGGTCATCTAGCTGCAGCACCAGAGGGATATTACGGTTGTGAGAAACGATGTGTGAGGTAGACGTTGTGGAGGTGTTGTTGCTGTTGCTGTTGCTGTTGTTATTATTATTGTTTTTGTTGTTGTTGTTGTTTAAATGATGATGATGATGCTGAAACGATGATGGGGGAAGTGATTGAACACTGGTCGATGCTGCTACATTGTTGCTTTTCCTGTGTTTGTCGTGGGAATGGTGATTACATAGGGCGCAGTGTAGGAGGGTGAGGAAGAGAAATATCCCAGAGGGACGCGTCTTCCACTTCATGTTTATGACGATGATGGTGATGATGACGTCATCAAAAATGAGGTTGTCATGAGGAAAGTTGAACCATTTCTGGGCCTGTGAGAGGCCACAGGCAGCGACAGGGAAGCTGTGATAATGTTTCTTTTATGTCACCGTTCGTAAAATTACCTGTGAAAAGATTTAAGCATACATAATGGTTATTATGATTGAAATCAGAAACTAAAAACCTTGAAAACAATAATAGCAGCGGCAGCAGTAACTACAACAGCAAAAAGTTCAGTTTTGTGGCATAGTGGACTTAGTTATGTCTCGCCTGGTTCGAATCAGAAAAGTGGGAAGACATGGAATAACACCAAGAGGCTAGCCAAGGATAGAGAAAAATGGACAGTGTATGTTCGTGGCCTATACCTTGATGCAGGGTAGGAAAGGCAATGATGATGCTGATGGTTCAAATCCTAAAGGAGCCATTCTTCAACTTGGAGTGTACACTGCTGGTGATCAGCCTTTTCAGGCGTAAAAGACATGGAAAATGGCCGGAAGTCTTCATTTTGTTAATGTAGGGGTTTCACATTCACATCGACCCAATTTAGATCGTTTAGGCAACGGGTTTGGACCCTGAATATCAGAGCCAATCCGAGCTGCAAGTGAAACAACACCCCAATAGAAAGTACGAGATACTCGATAAATAATAATGATAATAATAATAA